GGGGGGGGCGGGCCCGGGCCCGCGGGGCTGCGAGGATGGTCTCCGGGCTCCACGGGTTTCCGATTCCAGACGCTGCCCCGGTTCCGCAGGCGTGAGGAGCCTCCCGGACTCCACCGGGAAGGAATTGTCCGAAAAGGCGGTTCTGGGTGTGTTAGCGCCCAGACTGCCGGGGCTCGAGCCCGTGTCAGCCAGGCCTTGGAAGGCTCTGAGGTCGGGTGCGGGGGCCGCCCAGCTGTCATGACTCCTGTTTTTTCTGTGCTCCCGCAGGAACAGGCTCACATCTCTCCGTTGGAAAGTTGCTAGCAACACGATGAGTCTGCAGTGGACTGCAGTCGCCACCTTCCTCTATGCAGAGGTCTTCGCTGTGCTGCTTCTCTGCATTCCCTTCATTTCTCCCAAAAGGTATGGCCCGTGGAGCGGGCAGGCGAGCCAGGGAGAGTTGCTCCGCAGCTTATGCCTGCAGAGTTGGTGGGCCCTGGAATTGAGGCCAGATGGAAACACATAGAACCTGTCTGGGGTAGGGGTGGCAAGGGTTGTGTTGATTATCGCCAACCTTCCCCACAGTTCTGCTCTGTCACATCTTGCCGAGTTCCTTTCCTGTGCGCCCTGCCTTCTGGTCTTCAGAATGTCCCAGAAGGGAGAAGACCGAGTTATGGTTCTGGGAATGATGCCCTCCTGCCGCCCCCCCGGGGGCCCTGGCGTTCAGGGGATGGCATTGTGGGATCTGCAAAACTTGCATCACGGGGTCACGTTGCCGTTGATTCGGTGACTTCTGTCCTCTTAACTAGTCTCACTGGCATTGCGTAGTGCCCTCATGAGCATTACTCAGCCTGTGAAGGCTGGAGCCATGTTTCTTTTCATTGAACAGAGGACCTGTAAAAAGTTAACTTGAAATTAATTTTAATTACATTTACTATATGAACACGTTTGGACTTAAATTGGGGCATTACAGATAAGGCTGTGTTTTTATGGATATTTTTTTAAAAGCTCTTTTTTAATGAAAAAGTGTAGGCCCTGTTGTGATGTGATAGAAAGTATACAACATTGCTTAAGGAATATTCTTGACAAAAGCGAGATATGAGTCACCTCGTACAGTTCACAGGAAATGCAGAACAGAGGCCCCCTTGGAGCTGCAATCTGGGAAGCTTTGTAGGACAAACAACCTGATTTCTGCAGACAGTAAACTGGGAAAGAAAAGAGCAAGGGAAGAGGGAGCTTATAGAATAAGAGAGACTTAAGATACTTACCAACTAAATGCAGAATCAGAATCTTGTCAAGATTCAAACAAACCAACTAAAAATAATTGTCTCAGTTGGACTTTGGAGTTCTGGCTCTGGAGTTCTGATGATGAGAGATTCTTGTTGATATTTTTGAGGTCTGGTGATGGCATCGTGATCAGTATTTTGGAAGGCTCTTCTCTGACAGAGCTGTATCCTGAAGTATTCATGGAGGGAAACAAAGAGAGGTCTGGGGTCTGCTTCATGGTAATGTAGGGTGGTGGGAGTCTAGGTGAACCACGATTGGTCATGGGGGAAAACAGTTTAAAGAAATGTGTACGTGGCAAGCATTTTGATACTACAGAGGGGAAAGTAAGTTTCCCATTTCCCTCCCCAGAGCCTACCAGTGTTTAAGACTGGTTTTCCAGAAATTTCTATACACGGACACGTATCTTTTTTTTCTTTTTAACATTCTTGAATGGATGTCATAAATTGGAGAATTGCATGCAGCTGAGGCTGAATCTGTATGGGATATTCAGCCATTGGAGACGAGTGCAAAACTGTATTTCTGTTCACAGGGCCCTGGATCCCCGGCATGCGTTCTTTCTCTTCAGGCCTTAGCCTTTTTGTTTTCTTCACAGATGGCAGAAGATTTTCAAGTCCCGCCTCGTGCACTTGGTAGTGACCTATGGCAACACCTTCTTTGTGGTTCTCGTTGTCATCCTTGTGCTGCTGCTCATTGGTGAGTGAGCTGTGGCTGAGGGCGGCTACCTGACCTAGACCCTTTGACCAAAGTAGCCTCTGCTGCAAAGCCCCGTGCCATGTTCCTTGAGCAGTGTACAGCTTTGGCTTCTCAGAGACAGACCACTGAAGGGCGCCTGTCTTTCTCTTGGGGGAGGAGGCTCCTTTCACGCACAAAAACGGCGATGCTGGCTGCTGGCAGGGCCCTCACTTTGACCGGCGGCCTTTGTGTACCCGGCGATGACCACCTCATGTCTCAGGCAGCTCCTCACGCCCTTCCAGAGCTGAAACCAAGAGAAGCTAACTGGCTCATGCTGACCTTGGTCCAAGTAGTGCTGCTCCTTGGGCACTTAGCAGCGTCAGTCTCTCCCTCAGTGCCTGAAACAGGCCTCAAATAGGGGACTGAGCTACCAAGTAGATAGGGAGCCAAGCTGGGAAAGAAGCCGCCATGTCTTGAAGTATACGGTGGGGGGGGGGGCAAGAGGTCTGATAGCATATCTAGGGGGCAAATCCCAGACCTCTCTGGATCTGGGTCAGACTTCAGGTTCCTCGAAGTCCTTCCAGTTCTGAAGTTCTATAAACCCTGCATTGAGGTACACACCGGCAGGGGCTTGAAAGATGAACAGGGGTGGGGCCTGAGGCCAGGTGGTGGCGTGATTGTTTGGAGACCCGAGGAATCAGTATAGCTCTCATCTGTCTGTTAAATGTGCCTTTTGCTGCAGTAAGTGATCAATACATCCCCCTGCTTGGTCTCCAAAGTATTGGCTCACCTCTGCCATAGACAGTGGTCCTGTCTCCAAGGTGCGATGCCTGCTTAGACTCAGAGCACTTCTGTCTCCCTGAGTCCCCAGCAGAAATGTGGCAGGGGGTGGGAGGCCAGGGGGCCATAGTTGAGGGGAATGTGCAGGGCTCCACCCACCAGCTGCAGCATTAGGCGTGTCTCCTTCCTGATGGGATAGGTTCAGGCAGGACTGCCTCTGAACAGGTGAGGTGCAGCCTATCCATTCCCAGCCGTGGAGGGTGGTTGCCAGCTGCGCACAGACCTCACTGTTCTTGAAATACTTGGTAAAGCCCCAAGAGGCAGCTCTTTCCAATCAGGGTTCTCTCCTTGAGCGGCCTCTGAGTCCAGAACAGGTAGGGATTATGCGTGTCTTCCCCTGAGCAGGAAAAGCCAGGCTGCAGAGTTTTGGAATTGGGTGTGTGTGCTTTTGCTTTTGGGTGTGGGCTGGGGGCAAGAATTGGGGTGGGGAGGGACCGTGCTGAGGGTGTTCACTTGGGGCCTTGCCCCTCTGCAAACCAGACTCCACGAACTCTCCTAGTATGGCAGAGTGGGCCGGGGGGGCCCTTTGCAGAAGGCAGTAGTTGGCAAAGGTGCCATTCTTCTTTTTGGGGGGTCAGGGAACTACCTGGATGTTCTAGAGAGACATCCTGCTATGATGATAGGCTGCTTTCTATCTTAAGGGTAAGAAGCATAATCTAGAGCGGCCTACCTAAATAAGTTGTTAGCTAGTAGCAAATACTGATGACATAACCAGCTAGAAGCTGCAGGCCTGGCTGGCCCCTAGCCATCACTGGGAGGGGCCTAGGGCACATCTCACTGGGGGAGTGGGCTTAATGAGGGTCCAGGGTCAACTACCCTGGGCTGGAGGCCTGAGATAGAGGGCAACACTCTGCTGCGTGACTTGGGCTAGTTTGGCCCAACGCCCCCATCCCCGGTCTGCTCTCTGCCATCAGCCAGAGGTGGTCCTGGAGGTGCTGGGGTTTCTGGATGCAGAAGACAGTGTAGGAAAACATGGTTTTTGTTTGTTTAAATCCCAGAAATAACACATCTTTAAAAATTCACAAATTCAACCTAGAAAGGTAAAGTCCCCCATAATCCCGTGTCTCACAGGTAAGTATTGTTAAAAGTTTATGGTATGTTTCCACAGGCATTTTCTATGCTGCCGTCTTTATTAAACTAGTACATACCGTTTTGGCTTGGATTCAGATCACAGTGCACACTGTTTTGGATTGTGCTTTTTCCATTTACTGTATCTTAGGCTTTTTTTCTTATAGCAGTCTCATTCTTCTTAAAGATTGGGTAGTATTTTATCATATGGTTATACTGTAGTTCCTTCTTTATAGGCATCTTCATATCATTGCACATATATGCAAATCTTTCTGTAGGGTAAATTCATAGAGGTGGAATGGATGAAACCAAGGGCATGAACATTTAAAATTTTATGTCTTAGTTTGGGCTGCGATAGACCATAGACCGAGTGGCTTAAACAAAAGACATTTATTTCTCAAAGTTCTGGAGGCAGCAAGTCCAAGATTAAGGTGCTGGCAGATTCAGTGTCTGGTGAGGGCTCTCTTCCTGGTTCATAGGTGGCTGTCTTCTTGCCATGTCCTCACATGGAAGAATGGACAAGGGAGCTCTCTGGGGTCTATTTTATAAGGGCACTAATCCCATTCACGAGGGCCTCGTGCTCACTTCCCAGGGGCCCGTCTTCCTAATACCATCTGGTTGAGGGTTAGGATGCCAACTTAGGAATTTTGGGGGCCAGGAACACGCAGTCCATAAAAAACATTGTTGTCCTGGTTTATATCCCTGCTAACAGTGTTGAAAGAGGGCTCGCTTCATGATATAGATGTAACACAAGAACACCAGTAAAGGGGGACAGACTTTTATAATGTAAGATCAGCTTAAAAAACAAGCAGTCTCAAACCAGAAATTAAGAACCAGACAATAGCCATACAGTGATACTTTAACCCTCTCCCATGGGGGTCCATTAAGAGCCCTCTTTAGGTAGCTCTTTACGTACTGACTTAAAAAGATGTCTCAGATGTTCACTTTGGCAGCACATATCCTAAAATTGGAAAGAGAGAGATGATTAGCATGCCCCCTGCACAAGGATGGCACACAGATTCATGAAGCATTCCATGTTTTTTAGCACATTGTACGGTATACAGAAGTAGAAATGTTATACACGTGAAACTTATATAATGTTACAAATCAGTGTACCTCAAGAAAAAAGAGATTTCAGGGTTGAGGGAGAAAAGCAGTAGGTATGGGATGGTTCCATTTCTTTTTTCTTTTTTTCCTTATTTTTTTTAACATCTTTGTTGGAGTATAATTGCTTTACCTTGTTATGTTAGTTTTTGCTGTATAACAAAGTGAATCAGCTATACATATACATATATCCCCATAACCCCTCCCTCTTGCGTCTCCCTCCCACCCTCCCTATCACACCCCCCCATCCCACCCCCTAGGTGGTCACAAAGCACCGAGCTGGTCTCCCTGTGCTATGCGGCTGCTTCCCACTAGCTGTTGTACTTTTGGTAGTGTGTATATGTCCATGCCACTCTCTCACTTCATCCCAGCTTACCCTTCCCCCTCCCTGTGTGATGGTTCCATTTCTGTTCCACAAACGCATAGATGTGAATATACGGGTGAACCAGAGTGCTGTGTGGCCAGCAGCAGCTCTCTAGAGCAGAGGCTGTTCACCATTCAGCAGGTCTTTGTGTGCCCCCTGTGTGCCTAGCACTATGCTAGGCCCTAGGGCTGTAATAGAAAAGATTTCTGCTCTCGTGGCGTTTGTAGTCTAATTTGGGGGAGAGGGACAATAAACCTGGAATTGGGGTAATTTCAGATGTGTGTATTGCAAAGAGAATGAGGTAATGGGACTGAAAATGACTGCTTTTTAGCTAACCTGGCCACATGTAGCAGGTCCTGCTGGAGGTGATTATGTTATGGGATTCTTACTCCTGCATTTCTGCTATGTTTGAACCTTTGATGAGTGTGAATTTCTTCTGTAATCAGAATAAAACAGTTTAAATAATAAAATGGGTTATAAAGCTTAGAAATGAAAACCTTTGAATCTTTAGCAGGCATGCTTCAGGTCTTGACTCCTAGGCAGCTCATGCCTCCCTAGCGGGCATTTCCATAAACAGGAGTACCCTGGCTTATCAGTTGGATGGCCCATGACCAGCCCAGTTTGAGATAAACAGAACCAAACATTAGGGGCACCATGGGAAAGGGGAGCTGCCTCTGTTGCTGGCGACGTCTCAGATTCGGTGAGCATCCTGACACGGAGAGCAGGCTCATGGCCTGGGTAGAATGGGTCCAGGGGTAACATGAGAAAAGCTGGAGGAGAGAGTAGGTCCAAGGGCAGCACTTCTGACAAGGCATCCCCCAAGGTGTGTATAGAAGGGGGATAGCAGGGGAGACAGACTCGAGGGAAGCAAGGTTGCCCCAGCTCATGCCGCCTGTCTTACCTGGACAGGCCAGCCTAGTCTGAGCGGGAGCTAAATGCCCATATCTCTTCTCTGCTCCGCCACAGATGCTGTTCGCGAGATTCGAAAGTATGACGACGTGACGGAGAAGGTGAACCTCCAGAACAACCCCGGGGCTGTGGAACACTTCCACATGAAGCTTTTCCGTGCCCAGAGGAACCTCTACATTGCTGGCTTTTCCTTGCTGCTGTCCTTGTGAGTGGGGAGGGGTGAGGGACTGTGAAGGGACCTATGGGCTAGCCCATGACTTTGCCTCCTCAGTCTGTGGCCTTGAACTGGAGGCCCTTTCTGTGTTAGGGGAACCACACAGTTTCCCCAGAGGCCTCTGATTTTTCTCCTGACCTCCGGAGGCAGCATGGAGGGTGGGAGAGGGCTGACTAGAAGGTCAGAAGACCACGTTCTGGCTCTGCCGTAATCTGCAACACGTTCTTTTAGGACAAATGTCTTATCACCAGCTTGCTTTCTGTACACAGAGTGAAGTAAATGACAGGCGTTACCCTCCTCTGGGAGAGGCTCTTTGGAGCCCAGCTTAAAAGGGACCAGTTGAGGGCTTCCCTGGTGGCACAGTGGTTGAGAGTCCGCCTGCCGATGCAGGGGACGTGGGTTCGTGCCCTGGTCCGGGAAGATCCCACATGCCGCAGAGCGGCTGGGCCCGAGCCACCGCAATGAGAGGCCCGCGCACCACAACGAAGAGTAGCCCTCACTCGCCACAACTAAAAGGAAGTCCGTGTGCAGCGAGGATCCAATGCAGCCAAAAATAAATAAATAAATAAATTTATTAGGAAAAAAAAATGCATGGCTTATGTAGTTGAATTCCCTGGTGGCCCAGTGGTTAGGACTCTGCGCTTTCACTGCTGAGGGCACAGGTTCAGTCCCTGGTCCAGGAACTAAGATTCCACAAGCCATGGCGCGCCGCCCAAAAAAAAAAAAAAAAAAAAAAAAGGGACCAGTTGAACAGGGGCTTTTTGTGTGTGGGGTCCTGTCCTGAGAAGAGTGGGCAGAAATGGCTGAAGGGGCTGAGACCGACCCTGTCCCCAGGGCCTTCCCAGATGTAGACCTGTCTGTCACAGGAGCATGAGGGCTATTGGAGCCTGGGGGCCAAGGGCTTCCGGAGTTATTGGGAAGAGCCTACCGTGAGGTTACTGAGAAGTAGGGTCAGTGTATGGATTCTTGGGCATTGGAATGACTGGGTTTCAGTTTTTCAGAAAAAAAGTCAGTTGCTCAGCTGAGCCTGGCCTCTCTGGGTCATAGTTGGGAAGTGCCGCGTGGTGGAGCTGGAAAGGGCTTTTCAGGGGGATACATTTGATCATAGGAGTGATCTGCAAGGCTGCTGTCTTCCAACTTCTGAGAGTCAGGAACTGAGAAGGCTGGGAGGAGTTGGACACATACCTTACAGTTTTAGGGTTTCAGGAAGCTTCAAAAAAGAAGTATGATCTTGTGGACTGAGACTCTCCTGACTGCTCTGCTTTTGTGAACTCTTCCAGAAGGAGATCTCCAGGGCAGGTATTATCTGAGAAGGCCAGGGGACAGTGGGTAGCCAGGTGTACCAGACGAGTGAGTGTGTGCTCAGCTCTGTCCTCTCTGCGACACTGAAGCGAGGTGTTCCAGCTTAATTCCTGCAGTTGACTTTAAAACATTGGCATATAGCACAAATGGGCATCTGGTTCTGTGAGTGTTTGACAAATGCAGAGTAGAATAACACCACCACCACCGTCAGGGTACAGAGTAGTTGGCAGTCTCCTAACCCAAACAGGTGAATTCGAAGAAGAGCAGTCCTTGTTTATACCTCGCCTGCTCCCAAAGGGACGTGCGGAGGCTGAGAGAGGAGAGTGAGATTTGGGCCCACAGGTCCCATGCTGCCTCGCAGTCCCGCTCTGTGCTCTGTCGTGTCAGCTGCCTCCCTCACTTTGCTCTGACCTCTCCATTTGACAGGCGTGTAAGGAAGGCTTCATTGAATTCCCTTTAAAACATGTTGGGCATAGTAACTTCTTGGGCCTGGTTGTTCCAGCAGCCATACATCTGTTGCCTGTCCATCTTAGCTTGCTGTGCCTGCCATACCCTCCCGTGTCCCTGGCCGGTAGCTGGTCAAAAAAAGGATGTGAGGTTGGTCTTGTGTGACTTCTTAGAAAAGGAAACAGTGACCCCCAAGGATCAGTGTGGATTCATCAGTTGCCCACAAATGAGCTGTTTAATTGTTTCTAGAATTTTCTGAGATGATATACTCCTCCCTAGTCTAGGGGTCAGATCCTGTATGGCGGCTGTGGCCCTTGAGGAACTTCTCTATTTGCATGACATTAACCATCCAAGAAGAAAAAAGATTACGTGTGAATTCTCTGGCCGTCCAGTGGTTAGGACTCTGCGCTTTCACTGCCGAGGGCCTGGGTTCAATCCCTGGTCAGGGAACTAAGATTCCCACAAGCCACGCAGCATGGCCCCCCGCAAAAAAGAAAGAAAAAAAACAAAAGCTTATCTTGAAGACTGGATGGCCAGGTGGCCTCGCCTGTGTGCGTGTGAGGTGTTTGGGTTCTGGTTCTGCTTGAAGTCAGTAAGGACTTTAATAATCCTTCATAATTCAGTGGGCCTTTATAAATGGAAAAGGGCAGCCCAAGAGAGATGGAGCGGCCTGAGTTGCACAGGTTCTAAGTGGCCAGCCCAAGCTCATACCGAGTTCCGACCCTCTGTTCAGATGCCAGCTAGTGAGCAATTGGTGCCGGATTGTTGGTGTATAGCCTGCCTCAGACCGTAGACTGGATAGTGGGCTGCTTTTTTCCCCTGGATTTTGGTAGGAAGGTGCCTGGATCAAGTACATGATCTGTACATCAGTCTTACTAGTCTAAGTTTTAGGAGTCCAACGACTTTAATCTCTTAGTACCATTTGTACATCTGAAGATTATTAAGTAATCTGGTAGTATAAAACCTTTGGAGGAAGTTGAGGCTTTAAACAAATAAGAAAATACATCCTCTAAAATGCTATCATAACCACTGTTGACACATACGTTTGTTAAATATTTTTCTAGACTTTTCTATACCTAATAGCAGCTACCACTTGTTAAGCGTTCAGTGTGCCAAGCACACATTAATCTTTATAGTAGCTCTGCGAAGAAACAATTGAGGTTCAGAGACCCCAGTTCCCCAAACTAGTCATCAGCAGAGCTGAGAATTCAGACTTAAAGTGATGGGACCTCAGCAGCCACATGCTTCTTCAAAACAGGGTCAAGTTGTAACTACCACGTGGGAACATGGGTCTTCCACTGAGTTTGTCATTAACATTGTTCTAGGACAACCCATCTGTTGCCAGCATTCTTAGGTGTCTACCAATTCCCTGCTGGTGAACATCAGGCCGATCTCCCCATTTTTCTGATATCATAAACAGGGAAAACCCCTCTCAATTGTCACTTTGCGTGCCTCTCAGCTAGACCGCCTGGTACTCTTCAAAGTGTCTCTGCCCCTCTTACTGTCTGTCTCTTTGTCATCTGTATTTGTGCAAGTCTCACTTGCAGGTACTGGCTCAGTCCCTGAACTCCTGTAGGCTGTTTGGAAAAGAGCACGTGGATCAGGGTGGATGGGTCAGGAGTGGCCAGAGAGAGGGTGGAGGGTTTTGAATGCCAGTTTCAGAGTTTGTACCCGAACTCTGTGTGGTAGAGCACTGAGTTTTTCCAGTGGCGCTGTGCCATGGTCAGAGTTGGCGTGTTCATACTTGGCGCCTGGGCTGGAGTAGAGCAGGAGAGCCTGCAAGCAGGGGGACCAAGTTAGAGGTCGCTGAACTGAGACATGCTGGTGGCCTGAACCTGGTTTCAGAGGTGCTGGTGGAAGAAAGGGGAGGAACTAGTGGGGATGCCAAGCCTCTGAGGTTGAGGTGGTGGTGGTTCTCCTATGGGCGCCCACAGAGTGGCAGCTGTGGCAGAACCCAGAGGAAGGCTGCACACCCACCCACGTGGAAGGAAGGGAGCCGGTGAGGCCTGCTGGAAAGAACGAGGAAGCCGGGGGAGAGGAGGGGGATGACTGCACCGAGGGGTCGAGGAATGGGCGACAGGGAGGTGCTGGCCGCTTCCTGGAAGCGAGATGGAGGGGAATGAAAGCAGATGCAGGGAGAGGCAAGACTGGGAGAGAGACAGCAGGTTAGTGGGTGAGGGGACCACAGAGGCAGAGAGCAATGCTCAGAAGAGAGGCTGGGCGGGGCGCTGCTTCCTCATGGGGCTGGGGTCAAGAGCACATTGGGGGAGAATTCCCTAGCTGTCCAGTGGTTAGGACTCTGCGCTTTCACTGCTGAGGGCCTGGGTTCAATCCCGATTGGGGAACTAAGATCCCACAGGCTGTGCAGGGCGGCCAAAAAAAGCACCTGGGGGGAGCCTTGAGCAGCCCTCATAATTGAAAACAGGGGCCCCAGGCTTAAAGGACGCATCACGTCCTTAAACAAGTCTGCACTTCCCTGCAACAGTCTGCTGGGGGAGGGGCAGGGGGCAGGGTCTGGGCTTTTGTCTTGCATCTGCTTCGTGGTCGCCCTGACGTGGGGCAGCTTGCTACCTTCCCAGGTCCTCACGCTCCTTTCTCTGTGGGCTGGGCCCCAAAGTCTGAGAAGAGCTGTCTCTACTCAGAAGCCTGGGGGTGCTCTGCCTCTCTTATTTTGTCCCATGTGATCCCCTGCAACTGTGTGTTTTTTTTAAATTGCGGTAAAATGCATTCATCAAACTGGCCATCTGAACCATTTTTAAGTGTACAGCTCGGTAGTGTTGGGCCCGTGCGCACTATTGTACAGGCAGCCTCCAGAACTCTTCATCTTCAAAACTGAAACTCTGTCCCCACTCCACAGCCAGGGATCTCACCTCCTGAGCCTCTCTTCCTCGTTACCCGGGGAAGTGCTGCCACAGTTGGGCTGCATCATCCCAAGTAGGCTTCCTGCCGCCGGCTTTGGTCTCCCAGCCTGTCCACCCTGCCCCTGCCAAGTGACCTTTCTGGCATGTAAAACCCACTCCACCACCCCCTGCTTCCAGTGCCTTCAGAGCACCTTTGGCATCAAGGCTTGAAACCTACATCCCTCTGCAGTCTCTGCTTCGGCTGCCCCGTGTCGTGAACCAGCCTTGTGGGTCCCCTTCTCTGAGTATTTCTGTGGTCTGTGCCTGGAACCCCCCAGCTCTTGCCTGCTGGTCTAGCCAAGACCTCCTCTTCATGCTTATTTGGGCCTTCCCTCCTGATTC